TCACGCATCACAGCAAAACGAGGGCTGGAGGCCTAGCTTAGTGGTAAAATCTAGCTTGCCTCGCAAGTACCAAGGCCCTGCTCTCCACCCCAGCACTGGGAAGAAAAGGAAGGACAGGGGAGGAAAGGGAGTCCGGGGTAGTGGTGCATGCCTGTAATCCTTGCACTGGGAGACTGAGACAAGAGGGTTAAATTCAAGCCCAACCTCAAAATCAAAAGATAAGAGGGAGCCGGGGTAGCAGCTCAGTACAAAAGCCCTAGGTTCAACCCCAGTACTGAGGGAGGGGGGCAGTAAGACTGTATGTTTGAGAAAAATTATGAGTGTGTTGAATTAAAAACAGAAACAGAAGCATTCACACTTAAGAAAACTCAGTTACTGACACCAACCTCCCCAATGCTACAGTTCTGAGGCCCTGGCGGTACTAGCATATATTATAGTAAAGAGAAAGGCACAATCTCAGACAACTAGGCTGCCCCCTTCTGGCCATCAAATCATAAACACTACAGGCCAGAAAGATTCAATACAAGTCATACAATTCAAATAATGATAGGATCTACATTTTGTTCCTATTTGCATGACTTTTCCAATTAACCCTGGAAAGGCTATTCAGTTTTTCAATAAACACTGCTATTGGGAAATCCTCATTATTCAACTCTATACAAAGGCACTAAAGATTCTTCCTTGCTTTTTTGGCAGTATTGGAGCTTGAATCCAGGCTCTTCAGACTGAACCACAGTGCCAGCCCTTCTTTTGTTTTTCCACACCTCACTCCTTAAAAAAAAGTTTTTTTTTTTAAGTTTTTGAGACAGGGCTGGGTGTGGTGCTGCAAGCCTGTAATCCCAGCACTCAGGAAACTGAGGCAGGAGGAGCCTGTGGAGGATCAGCAGTTCAAACCCTGCCTGAAGGATACGGTGACATCTTGTCTCAAAAAACAGAATTCTGAGACAGTGTCTGGCTTACTTGTCCAGCTGAGATCTTGTGATCTTCCTGCCTCAGCCTCCCAGAGTGCTTGGATTAATGGCATGTGCCACCCTTCCCCTTCAATTCAAAAGGGGGAAAATGGAAATTCAAATGGGCAGCTTCAGCCTGCACATTTCATTTCCCTAAGATGGCTTGGGCAAAGCCCTGTAGGAGTTTCAACAGGGTCACAGTAGAAGGCGTGCCTTGAGAACCAAGGGGTTCCTGTCACTTATTTTGAGACAGGTAGCACTAAGCTGCTGAAATCATACTTGAACTTGCAAACCTCCTGCCTCAGTCTTCTAGAGTCCTGGGGTTACAGGTATGCATGTGCCACCAGGTTTGTTCAGACTGTCTAAAAACACTCAGGATGTGGCTCTGTATAGTAGAGGGCTTGCCTAGTATGCCTGAGGCCCGGAGGTACATCCCCAGATCTTCATGCTTTTTTGTGAAACAGGATCTCACTAAATTGCTTAGGCTGGGCTTACATTTGCAATCCCCCCCCCCCATTCTCCCAGAATGCTGGGATCACAGGTGTGTGACACTGTGCCCAACTTTTTTTTTTGGTACCGTGAATTTAACTCAGGACCTCATGCTTGCCAGGCAGGGGCTGTGCTGCTGAGCTATATCCCAGGTTCCTTGCCCAACTTTTAAAAAAAATTTTTTTTAAAGATCACTTTTGGGGGAGTGGACATGATCACAGTGTTAAAAGTAAATCTGGTTGGTGCCTCAAGGCTGTAATCCCAGTACTAGGAAGGTTGAGTCAGTGGATAAGAGATTTCAAGGCCGGTCTGGGCTACACAGTAGATCCTGTCTTGAAAAACCAACATGTTCTATGCTAGAATGAAACTTGATAGTTTGCAAAATTAAATGCACTAATAAAAACACTTATTGGGGGAAAAAAGATAACTTTTGTTTTAGGGTGCTGGAGATTGAACTCAGGACTCATATATGCTATGCTAGGCAAGGGGTTGACCACTGAGCTACAGCCTCAGTTAAAGATACTTTTAAAACAGAGAATATTCAGTCGATACAGCCTGCTTAACCCAAACCTGGAGCCTAAGTTAAAATGGTCCTTAGCAGTCTGTATGCCTTCCCAGTGTGCAATTCCAGAGCAAGTACAGTGAGCAGAGGTGGGATAAGCATGCCAAGGGAAACGCTTTTACTCTGCCACACCACAAATAAGGTCAACTACTCTATAAATGCACATTATGACACTCTATTGACTAACAAGTGAAGTTCTCAGGATGGATCTCAAAGCCCTATTCATTTATTCATTCATTCCATCTGAATGGTCTACTACGTGTATGGCCTACTATGTGCCATATAAGGACTGAACAGGAGGGATAACTTATTTGGTACACAAAATAGCCATGAGCCTTGTACTCCAAAAATTCTTCACGTTACAGGTATCCCGTATTGAGAAGCGAAGGCAACAAATGTGGTGCTGCATGTTAGCAATCCAGCACTCTGGAGGCCAGGGCAAGAGGACTAGAAGTTTGAGCCTGGCCTCAAACAAGAGGTTTAGTGAGATACTGTCATTGTCTCAAAATAAAAGTGAGAAAGAAAAACAAAAAAGGGCTCTGGGGATACAGTTCAATAGTAGAGCAACCACCTGCTTAGCATGTGTAAGGCTCTGGTTCAATCTCTAGCACCACACACAACAAAAATTATTAAAAAACGAGGCAAGGGTACCCTTACTTCATCTTTAATAAAGAAGCCACAACCATTAGACTAAGCACTGATTACATTTTTAATGAAAAACAATTTAGGCTGCAGCAGCCACTAAAGAAAAATGTTACCACAGGGAAAAACAGAAGTGTGAGGATCTTCCGCTACCCTGGAGGTTCACTGAGATGCAAGTGGTTCCAATGCAGGTGCCTTTCACCTACACCCCTTGCTGGGTGTGGTGGCCCACACTTGTAATCCTAGCACTTGGGAGGCTGAGGTAAAATCGCTGGGAGTTCTCAGCCAGCCTGGGCTAGACAGTGAGTTCAAAGCTAGCCTGAATCACACAGCAAGACCCCGACTTAAAAAAAAGAAAGAACACACAAACAAACAAACCCATCCAAAAACCTTTCAGTACAAGGGAGGGCAGGCTGCATTCACACACCTTGGTCCTTTCAGAACCATTCCACACTGCCCACAGGATTTTTTCTTTTTGGCGGTACTGGGAATTGAACCTGGGACCTCGTATGTCCCCAGCTTTTTTTTGTTTATTTATTTAACAGCACTGGGGATTAAACCCCAGGCCTTTGCATTGAGCTGTATCCCCAGCCTTCCCCCATCCATAGTCTTCCAAAATTGACCAGGATGGGCTCTAACTTGCTATTCCTGCATCAGCCTCCCAGACTGCTGGGACGACAGGAATGTGCCACGGTGCATGGCAGCTGACATGGTTCTTAACACAAATGCTGGCATTTTAACCCTGGCTGGAGGTTCTAGTACAACCTGCTTTTTGTAAATTCCACCTCAACTAAGTTAAAATCATACATGCCTAAATGTAATAGCAATCTATAAAAACTCTTTTCTGGGGCTGGGGATTTAGCTCAGCGGCAAAAGCGCCTGCCTGGCAAGCGCAAGGTCGTGAGTTCGGTTCCCGGT